GACTGGACATTCATCATCAAGATGGCAGAATAGACGATTTCCAGCATCCCACCCTCCCACAAGGAACCAATTTGCAACTATTGAAAAACAAAGACTACAAACCCAGAACTGCTAGAGCTAAGGAAGGAGGAGAGACCTGTAGGGTTTGTGAAGATGTGAGAGGCAGTGATGAGAAGATATAGGGACTGCTCACAAAGACTACAAACCCAGAACTGCTAGAGCTAGGGAAGGAAGAGAGACCTGTAGGGTTTGTGAAGATGTGAGAGGCAGTGATGAGAAGATATAGGGACTGCTCCTGTTGTTCTGAGCCAGCCTGGTTCAGAGGTAGGGACCAGCTGGTATACAAAGTGGAAAAACCACAGAGGCACTTCCACATAAACCTGCTTGGAGTCTACAGGGGAGCAGAGGGCTTTGGAGCACACCATATCAGCCCACAGGCCGTAAAGACCACTGACAGGATTCCTGTAGCCCCATAGGAGCAGACTACTCCAACCAACTGGAGAGGAGAGCTGCTCAGAGGCTCGCGAGTTATTGTGAAGGCCACATACACTGCCTGCTCCGCAGGAAGTAGTTAGAGTGCAGGTAACAGGCTGGCCCACCAGCCTAGGGAACGCTGGGCACAGCATGGGAAGCTGGTATCAGTGCAAATCAATCACAGCAATAGAACTGCAGGGGGTTAATCAATCTGCAGACACAAAGATCAAGAAAGAACAGAGAAATATGTTACCACCAAATATGTCACCACCTACTAACACAAACAAAGCAAAAACAGTGGAGGCAGAGGAATAGCAGATCTATGAGATATCTGATAGAGAATTCAGAATAACCCTCTTAAGGATGTTCAGGGAATCACATGAAAATATGGAGAGAATATTTAAATGGTATCTGGAAAGTAATTCAGGACCAGAACGAGAAACTTGACAAAGGAATAGAATCATTTTTTTCAAAGAAAACAAATAGAAATTCCAGAAATAAAGAATACATTTTCTGAACTAAAAAACTTGATAGAAAGCTCCAACAGCAGACTTAATCAAACAGAGGAAAGAATAAGTGAGTTTGAAGAGAAAACGCATGAAATTATCCAACCAGAGACCAGAGGAGCAAAAAGAAAAATAGGAATAAAGCAAATGTGGGATTCATTCAAGCAAAATAACTTGCACATAATTGGCATACCTGAAGGAGAGGAAAAAAGGAAGAGATGTAGTAGTACGTTCAGAAAAACAATGGCTGGAAATTTCCCGAGTATAGAGAAGGATGACAGAATCCAGGTATAGGAAGTTCAGAGGTCACCAGTCAAATTCAACCCGAGGAGGAACACCCGAAGGCACGTGATAATCAAATTATCAAAAACCAAAGGCAAAGAGAATACTGAAAACAGCAAGAGAAAAGAAACACATGACATTCAACGGAGCCCCAATATGTCTCTCAATGGTTTCTAAATAGAAACCCTACAGGCCGGAAAAGAATTGGATGATATAGTCAGAGTCTCACGGAAAAAGACCGTGAGCCAAGAATTCTGTATCCAGTAAACCTAACCTTCAAATATGAAGGAGAAGTAAAGTCTTTTTCAGACAAACAAAAACTAAGGGACTTTGTCACCACTAGGCCAGCCTTACAAAAAATGCTAAAGGGAGTTTTCAATCTGAAAGAAGACAATGATAAAGCTCAGCAAGAAAACGTTTAAAGGTACATAACTTATTAGCAAAGTAAGTTCACAGATAACCTCAGAATACGCCAGTGTGGTAAGGATGGTGAACAAACCACTTACATCCTTAGAATAAAGAGTAAAGGATAAACCTAACAAGACATTAACATATACGGCAACCATACAAGAGAAAGGCAATATTAAAAGATGTATCTTGAAACAGCAAATTGTCAAAAAGTGGAGGGTGGTGGACACTAAAGCATAGTTACCTTTTTTGTGTTTTCTTTGTTTCTCAGATATCAAAGCTAAGTTGTTATTAGTCTAAAATAATTTGTTAGAAATATTAAATGTTTTTTGTAAGACTCAAGGTAACCATAACACAAAAACTTAGATGAGACGTACTAAAAATAAATAGTGAGAAAGTAAACTGTAAAGCTAGAGAAAACCACTCAACCCCAAAGAAGAGACACTCAACAACAAAGGAAGAGAGTAAGACCAGAAAAAAGGAAAAACATCTCCTACATTGATGGTGGGAGTGGAAATTGGTATAGCTCCATATTGGGGCTCCATTGAATGTCGTGTGTTTCTTTTCTCTTGCTGTTTTCAGTATTCTCTTTGCCTTTGGATTTTGATAATTTGATTATCACGTGCCTTCGGGTGTTCCTCCTTGGGTTGAATTTGACTGTGGAAGACAATATTGCGGTTCCTCAGAGAACTAAAAATAGATATAACCTTTGACCCAACTATCTCACTACTGGATATATACCCAAAGAAAGTGAAATCAATATATGAACAAGACTCCTGCACTCCCATGTTCATTACAGCACTATCTACAATAGACAAGAGGTGGAATCAACCTAAATGTCCATCAATGAATGAATGAATAAAAAACCATGGTATATATACACAATGGAATACTATTCAGCTGTAAAAAGAAATGATATCCTATTATTAGCAGCATCATGGATGGAACTGGAAATCATCATGTTAAATGAAAGACAAATACTGCATAATCTCACTCATATGTGGAACCTGAAAAACAAAAGAAAAAGAAAGTGGTTCTCATAGAAGTAGAGAGTAGAATAATGGTTATTATTATTCCATTCCAAGAGGGCAGGGGAGGAGGAAAAGTGGTGGACTAATGGGGACAAAACTGTTCTATCTACCAAAGTGAATCATTGTGCAGTATATGCATGTATTGCAACAATATACTATACCCCACAAATACATAAAAATAAATGTTAAAATATTTTGAATTAAAAAAAAGGAAAAGTTCAGACTCAAATCCACCACCCCACTTCTGGTCTTGATTCTGCACAAGGGTTTCTATTTCAACAAATGAGTATTAAGAATGTTTATCTGGAGAAGGAAATAAATAGGCTTGCATTTACCATCCCTTCTAATTATATTCCTCGCAGCAAAGAAAAGCTTAAGGAAGGTCGTGACTGAAAATCTATTTCAACGGGGAACAGTTGAGATTTCAGTGACTCTGCATGCATAGAAGTGAACCTTCCTTTTATTAATTTTCCTATAAATGCACAGTCATGGGTTTCCCACGACTAGACAACCACAATCATGTACAGAGGAAATTGTTTTCATAAATCAGAAATACGAAAAGTGCTCAGATGGAAGAAGAGGATATCAATAGACAATCAAGAGTATCCTTATCTTTAGAAAGTGAGAGGAAATGTGATTCTGAATTGCCCATCACACTGTAAATACATCCCATTATCATCTATTCTTATTATGATAATATTGATGATAAGTAGTAACTCAGACTACAATGTGAGTTCTCTTGACAGTGTCATGGATATTGGCAGGCTATGAAGAGACATTTAAAAATATTCTTTCACCTACTAAAACCTACTTATGACCCAAGTAAAATGTGAGTTAACTATTTGAGGTCAGGAGATGATTGGAAAAATTATCAAATAGCAATGATATAGGAGGTGCTCAGTTTCCCTGGCTTCAGATTTCAGGACAAGTCTGTGGATTCCAGCCACTCCCTGAGGCCTCAGGCCTCCTCCTCTAGGCTATCCCCTAGAGGAAAATTACTGTTACCAGTGAGACCTATTTCTAGCACCAACAAGGGGAAATGAGACCGCGAGGGCCTGACCAATGAACATGCTCCAGGAAGAGACCAACCGGCCATGTGCAAGACTAAATGTTACATAACTGGGAACCACCCCCTTAACTGGATATTCATTAGATAGAGAAACTGTAAAAGCTGAGTTCCAGCCGAAGGGGGGGGGGGTTGTTGCTCACTTTCCCGGAGGTGACCTGTATGTGCTGGCTGAAGTGTGTGTACTTTACTTCGCATCAAGCTTACTTTCAGCAAGCAGCTGTTTGTTCTCTTGAGCCAGCCTGCACTTTGTACTGAACTTTAAGTATGTTTTTCTTGCTTTTGTGTTAGACTTGACGTCTGAACTGAACTTACTTTTGTGTTAAACTTGGTGTGAGCCCTGCTGAGTCTCTGGAGCTATGATGCACTCTCTCTGTGGAACCTGTATTTCTTATGTGTTATATTAAACTTGTCCTCAGTTACTATTGTGACTCTGCCTTTGAATTCTTTCCTGTGGTGGATTCAAGAACTTGGTAAGAGGATGGGGTGGGGTGAGACCAACTATCAGCCCCCCAGACCCTACCTCTAACATCAGCTTTATTTAGCTCATAATTACTTTTTGCCACACTCAATATTTCAGAGCTTAATTTTTATCTTACTGTCTTTTAGATAGGTGGAGTATGATACTCCTGAGGTTAAGGTTTAAATTTTCAAATCACCATGGGGAGCAATTAACTTTCTAGAGGAAAAATCAATCCTGCAACACAAATTATACTCCTAACTTTGGTTAGTTGGTTCATTAACAAGGAACTGAAAGGCCGACCCCATGGAGCACTCGGGAAAGTGCAGCGCTGGGAGCGCAGCGACACTCCCGCCGCGGGCTCGGATCCTATATAGGAATGGACGGTGCACTCACTGGCTGAGCGCGGTGAAGCTACACCACACCAAGGGTTGTGATCCCCTTACCGGTCACGAAAAACACACACACAAAAAAAACAAGGAACTGAGACTTGGGCAAGAAGATGTATATGGCTCCATAAAATGAGTCACCACCATCATAGGAAGTCTGATTTACAGTACACATGCTACAGACAGTGAGATTTTCAAGTCTGGGTAACTAAAATGACAGATGTCACTGCCAGTTCTAGTGTCTTAAAACACAGGACAAGCCAATTTGTGCATGTTGTTTCATCATTCCATCTCAAGGAGAGACATATAGCCCAAACGGATGAGTAACACTAAAGCTGATCCTTTATTTATTTATTTATTTTAGATATAAATAATAGCTTAATGGAATATTCTTAAAAATCAAAATACATGTCAAAGAATCCACAATGAACAAAATATCAAAATTTACAATAAAGACAAATTAGTATTATTGGTTTTTCATTTTGTCTGAGGTGTTTACCAGCTTAAAGTTTATCCTTTTGCACTAAGCATTGAAACAGCAAACAAAAAAACTTTGTTTTTACTAAGTGTACGAAACTTGGTTGAATGGAAGCCTGGGGATTTAACAAGCCCAACTTGCTACTATAAGAAAAAAAAAAACCCAGCAGAAAAGAAAGAGTTCCCAATAATAATATTTCAACATCTGGATTCATGTGGACTTCCTGTCATGTGAGTTAATGAATATCTCTTACATAAAGCCAGTTTTACCTTGGTTTCTGTCACTTGCAGTCTTAAATAATATACCAGTGAAGCTGAGGAATATTGTGAGGCAATATATAAGGTGTTTCTAAACCACGATACACACACTGAAGGATAAAATGATGGAAGAGAAGGTAGAGAGTCCTGTGGGTGCATTGGTCAGCTACTGCTAAATAACAAGTTACCCAAAATGTAGTAGCATGAATAATAAAAATCTGTCATCAGGTTCACAGGTCTTCACATCATCTAGAGCAGCTTCTCAGATTGCAGGAGTATGCATCTGTGGTTCTGCCATCTGTCTCGTCTTACTCTACAACAAGCAAACTACCTAGAATAGCAAAAGGAAAAGCCAATCACCAAAGGATCTTTCATGCTGCTATTCATCATGTTTGCTAAATCCAAATAGCCAATGAAAGTCCTATGACTAAACTCAAAGCAAGTATATTCCACCTATCAGATGGTCAAATACTAGAGTACTTCAAAATGCTTGTGGAAAATTTGAAGAACCCTCTTATAGACAGAAGGACAAATCCAACATCAACATAGGAGGTATCTCCTCCCATTCAGGAGGGGAGCAGGCAGCGAGGGAACATTGAAATCATGCCATCTCTCAGGAAATTTCCTAGAGGAGGTTAGAGTAAGGCTGCACTTCAGAGAAGGGGTCCAAAGAAGTGGAAAGTGTGTGTACACACTGTGAGCATTACAGAAAAGGGTCTATGGAAATAGTCAAATGCAAAATGAATAAACTGAGAAGCTGAACAAGATCACAACTGCGTGGGATGGTTTCTGGCTCTATACATGTTTTCCTAAGATGTAAACAAGCAGATTTCTGAATGACTAAAATATTTATCTCCTAAGCTCTAAACAAGATGTTTTCTATTAAAACTTCTTTACTGGAAATGACCATATGAAAAACAAAACAAACAAACAAAACCTTTAAATTATGGGCATGCCAAGCTTACTGCTGGCACTTGACAATGTGCCCTCACTCCCACCACCTTGTCATCCAGGGAAAGTCACATTTCTGTCTGTATTTTTGCACTTCTTTTGTAGCTTCTTTGCATAACAGCTGCTGTCTGTGGACTCACAATGAAAAATTGAGGCCAGAAAGAACAGATGCAATGAAATCATTGAGTTTCTTGTTATTTTATTTCACTTTTTTAAAAAGTACAAAAGAATTCATCAATTTTTTATTTACCCATTTTTTAAATCTGAATGTATAAGATTTTGTGTTCTTTAAAGTTTTATTTTGTTTTTAATTGATGCACAAAAATTGTACATATGTATGGGGCAAGTGTGATGATGTGATGTGTGTATACAATGTATCATGACCTAAGTAGGGTAATTAGTATATTCATCACATTAAACATTTGTCATTTCTTCATGGTAAGAACATTGAAAATCCTCTCTTCTAGCTACTTGGTAATATACAATATATCATTGTTAACTGTAGTCACCCTACTGTAATTTTATTTTACACCAGATCGATATTAGGTTTCTTATAACCATCTCATAATGATTGCTTCACTGTCTGCTCTTATTGTCTTCATTCTTAGGCCCCACTTGATAGGTCTGAGCTAGAGCTAAAATATCTTTGTGATCCAGAAACGTAAGCTGCATTCAGCTCTCCAGGGCCACCTGCAGAAGCAAATTAACAGTAAACACAGTTAGGACAGGTAGTGTCTTCTGATGGGTCTGGCCCTGTCTCCAGGATGAACAATTAGCAGAAACTACCAAATAGGAACTAACAGGGCAGTGTGACTGATGAGGACATGGTAACAACCAGGGTCTCTGCCCACCAAGCCAAGGGTCCTGATTTTTCTGAGGTTTGATGTCAGTCATCTCACAAAACAGACACTCCAGTATTTATCAGTCTATAATAAACCAAAGTACCAAGCTCCACCCAGGCCTGTCCCAGAGGTCTGTTTATATCATGATGTTGAAAACTGACATTACACTCATTTTATTTATGCACAAAATTATTATTATGAATATTTTTTAAGTTGTATGCTCATAGATCATAATGATAATTATACTGAATGAGGATCTATTATATGCTATCCAGGGTTTTAAGTGCTCCATATGCATCTACCTGTTTAATCCTCTGGATAACTCTGTAAGGCAGGTCCTGCTCTCATCCTATCCATTTCACAGACTCAGGAACTAAGGTGAAGAGAGGCCAGGTGCCCATGGTGAAGTAGCTAGATAGCCAACGATGGGCCAGGACACACATCCAGGGACTCACAGTCCATGTCTACATGCTTAGCACAGCACTACGCTACTAAAGACGTGAAGAGACAACTCCCTCCAGAGAAAAGAAAGATGCCCAATCTAGATTTGAAAAAGTATCCAACCTCCAAGAAGAGAAAAGTAAACTTGGTTATGTACCATTTTAAATTTATGAAATTAGAAAGAAAAAAAAAAACAGAAAACAATCAAAAAACCACCCTGCTAGTGTTCACAAGGAGAAAGTTCATTCCACAACCCTTTTCCAGCTTCAAATAAATAAAATGTATGTTGCAGAGAAAGCCTCATAAGTGTTCTCACTCACAGGCCTGCACACGTTAGCCAGGCACAGTCTCTGCACCATAGGGGAGTGACTGGCAGACAGCAATGCTAAAGTTTCCCTGAGCCCTGTCCACCTGGAAAACCTTCTGTTTTCTGAACCCTCCCATCACCATCCTTTTGCTTACTGAAAAAAAAGAAAAAGAAAAAGAGAAGAAAGAAAGAATGCCTAAGCCTCTGTCTACATTTTCTCATGATTCCCAAAAGACCCACGATGACTCTTCAGAGCCAAACATAAACCTTTGAACTTCTCTTTCTTGGTCTTGTGAGTGATTAGCTAAGATCAGAAGTGTTTGTTCCCCTAAAACTCTGAAACTAAGTAGACAGAGATAAACATTCCCTGCTCAGCTAAAGGGCCAAGACTTACCATAATGGGAAAATAACCCCAATTGTGAGTTACTTTCTTTGTAGCTTATCTATGCCTCCCCACAAAAGTCTAAGACAAAACCAACCTTCTGACGTGCTATGATCTCTGGATCTGAGATGCTATTTTTATTGCAATGGCTGGAATAAAATCAATTTCCTTGTATGTTTGTGTTTTGTCTTTGGCAAGTCTAAAATAATAATAATAATAATAATAATAAATCCTTCACCCTACATGTATTTCTCCTATTATTTATGATTAAATAAAATAATAACCACTAGAAGCTGCTTTCTACTTAAAAGAAGAAAACTATTAGAAGGCTCCGGGGCTGTGTCACTCACACAAGATGCCATTCACTGAGTGTTATCAGGGACTCTTTGCCCTTTGCCTGAAAGTCCTCTCAGCAAGTAAAAAGCCCCCCTTCCATCTGAGAAGTGTAATTATGAACGAGACTTTGAATTCATGCTTGACGAGGAAGAGACACAAACCCCCATCCATCATTTTACCTGCTTCTTCACAGCTCAAAAAGATTGGCCAGCGTCAAAAGCGTCTAAGAGACCCACAGGTCCAATCCCACCTACAGACATCTTTTGTTGGCCCCATTCAGCAAGGTTGAAAACCTTGATAAGCTGATAGCCTTTCAAAATATGGAGATTTTATACAAAAATGTTCATTAGCATTTGTCAGGGACTCCCCCCGCATCATTCAACTTAAAAGACAGACAATGCTTTTACATTTGTTGATCAAAAGATGGCAACAAAGAAAAACACTTTTTAAAATCTGGCTCATGTAGGGTGGAGTCAGTTGGGATTTGCTCTTACATTAGTGAAATATCAGTATCTTCTGCACAGAAAACAGCCTTTTTAAAAATTTGTTTCTGTTTAAAGATCATTTATTGGGTATTTTCTGTCTCCTGATGTGCGACATTAACTCTTAAAATAAATTGTTTTATTTCATATTCACAGCAGATTAGGGGATAGATAATATCCTCTTCCCCACTTCACACATAAGAAACTACCCAAGGTCACACAGGCAAGATTTGAACCCAGCACTGTCTGAATGCAAAGACAACTATTTAACCTATGTGACTTCTTAGTTATCATGCAACTTTCTAGTCCTGTGGGCACATTTTAGCAGACCTGAAATTTGAATACCTCCCCGTCATGTCCCCACTTAAGCCATCATCTACCTTTTGTCCCCCAAATATTTTATGGTCTTTCCCTCCCTGGATTCCGGCTTAGCTTCCAAGTCTTCTCTGATCATAGTAAACTAGTATCCAGGCCTCTGGCAAAATTGTTTTTTTACTGTTGCTTTTTAAACAGGTATAAAAGTAGAATTTAAAGCAGTCTTTCATAAGAAAAACAAAATGTAACATGAAACTCAGGTTAAGAATTCATTCAATTTTGTGCTTTCGGTTGAAAAAAAAACGTTTAGGTATACATTTAGGGTAGAAGAAGAAATCTTTGAAAACAGTGCATTTAGATTCAAATCTGTTGGAGGATTTCAGCTAAGGAAAGAGACTGAAGAGAAGTGTTATCAGCCTAGGAGTTCACCTGCAACTGCAAGGAAGCCTAGGAATCCCTGTTTAGAGATGAAATTCAGCTAGACTGTGCCATCTGATGAGGGTTGCAGGGAAAGTACAGGACTCCCAGTTAAATTTGAATTTTAGATAAGCAATGAATAACTCTTTAGTATGTGTATGTCCCATGCTGTATCTGCCATTCTGTATTATTATTTGCCAAGTCTGGCAAACCTGAATGTGACTCAAATAAAACAGCTAGTGAGAGAGCCAGCAATGAATTCAGCTTTTATTCATGTGCATTTAGAAAGACCTCTGCATAAATTTGAGTGTTAATTTATTGTTCCACTCAATTTTTCCATCGTGTTCTTTCCTTTCATCAACTGTAGTTTGTACTAAGGCATGTTGCCCAGTGGGATCTTAAGGTGTTTCTGTCAGTACACAGAGCCTGCGTTTGCACATTGTGTTCACATATTCTTCATTACGACACACACGTACACACACACAAATGTGCTTTCTCAGTTTTCTTGAAATGTATGGCTCTTTTGGTCTTCCCCTCCTCATTAGAAATTGACGTGGGAAATAATTGTGATTATAATGGTTAGCACTTACAGATCCCTTACTCTGTGCCAGGTGCAGTTACAAGTCCAGGCATGGATACTTCTCTCTCTTGTGCACAGCAAGACATAGGGCACCAGGTGGGGACAAATAATCCTGGAACAAGAGAGTAAGCAGTTGGAAACTATAATATATTCTACCACCCAATTTGACCTGCTTTTTTGTTGATCAATATGGCCCAAAAGTGATGTTCACTCACATTTCTATCCTGATAATTACCAGGCTTCTTCACTCCTCCAGCCTAGCATGGATCACTAGTCACAGGTTGAAGCAATTTATTTACTATCATAGACCACATATAATCCTGCTGCACTGTCTTTTAAAAATATTTTTAGCAAGACTGCATGACTCACTAAGTTGAGCCTTTTACTGCACAAATATTAGGTTACCGATAAGCTTGCTGAGCACACACTTCAGGAATCAGCTCCATTATCATATGAGGGGACAAGAAGAAAGGAAGGAGGAAGGACAGGAGGAGGGAAAAAGGGAGAGATGGAGGAATGGGTGTAAAGAAGGAGGAAGGAGAAGAAAAAGGAGAGAAGGGGAAAAGAAAAAAAGAAAAGGAAAAATAGGAGAAAACAGAAACTTGATTTGAAAAAACTTTGATGATATAAAAATACACATCATGAGGGGAAAATTGACTTATTTGATTCCTTTAGGTTTATCTTAGAGTTTTGAGGGATTTTTTTAAAAAAGACATGTGAGAGAAGGACTATGGAGAAATACCATAATTTTTTATATATTGTGTTTAGTTATTAGTTTAGTCTAAATGGAGACAATATATCTACTCTACTTCAAATATTTATTTTTTCCAAATTATTCATAGGCCAGGAGAAGTCTCACTGTTCACAGGCAGCATTTCTGGCTCAGAAAAAAAAAAAAAAAAAAAAAAAAAAAACATAATGGAATGGGTCTGGATCATCCCAACAGAAAAAGCAGTAGTTAAATTGGTGGAGACACCTGTTATATCTTTCAGATCCCTGCCGAGTCCTTCTTCCATGAAGCAGGGAAGTGCCGTTTCAGACTGTGGCATCTGATGAGGGCAGAGGGAGCCCCAGATGCTGAGCAGATCTTAGAGCTGCTATTTCCCTTCTCTGGAATCCCATTGCTCCCCTTCCTGTAAATTTCTGAAGCTGAATTATGCTGAAAAGCTTTTTTCAGAAATTAAACATTGCCAAACAGCAGCTTAAGATTCACATGTTGAAATAATGAATAAACAATGAAGCTAATTAAGTAAAATTAAAATAAAAATCATGTGGCTATGATTAACCTAAAAGGTTAGAAAATTATGCAGGGATATATAAACTTTTGCAGAGGCAAAGTCAAAGAACAGCTTCTTAGCTTCTTTTCCATCACTCATTTTAATCTATGCCATCATCTTATACAGAGAAATGTAAATGGGAGTTGGAGAAGTACTTACCATAACTTCATCTATGACTAATAATCAGGATTTGGGTCCAGGATCTCAAAGTTCTGAGTTCCGCTCCGCAAACGCATTCTCGTTTCTCTGGATGTCCCATGCTGGCCCCATGTATCCAGCAGGCCCCACAGGCCAAGGGTCCCCTACATTTGTGTGGATCACAGTCATTTGAAGAATGGGAGATAACAGACTTTTCAATAAGTTATTAACAGAAGAAACCAAATGAGCAGCAAACATATAATGCAATGTTCAACCTCAGTAGCAACCAGACAAGTACAAATGTAAAGAAGGCAGCATCCTGTACCTAGCAGATGGTTAAAAATACCTACGTGTTAAAAGATAAAGTGTGGATGAGACTAAAAGAAACGAAAGTTCTTCCCTCTGCTCAATCACTTACAAAGAGATATTTTGCAATATCTTATCTAGCTGACGATGCACTTTGACCCCGCAATTTCATTCCGAGGAATATTCAAGTGCGTACAAGGCAGCACGCACGACAATGTTCACTCAAGTAATGACCCCACCACCAAGCTATCTGGGTGCATACAGTTCCCATGCAAGGAGTCCGTTAGCTGACTTCCTTTTCCTTTGGCTAGGCATTAGCTGTTAGAACCCTTCCAAGCTTACTTATTTTTCCTATCTCTCCTCCTTTATAATCATGCGGTTCTCATTTTCATTATTCACATTTCCACACAATGAGTGTTCATTAAAATATTTCACATTAAGACCTTTTCCGCCTTTATAACCCAGTGCATTGAGTTTTTGCATTAAGCAGCTTTTGAAATTCTTATCACAGTATTTCAGGCATTTTGTGCATTATATTCTATTATAATGATTCCACCCAAAGTTGTCACAATTCAGAGATTACAGCTTCTGTGAGATGTTTTGTTAGGAATATATTCATATATTCACTTTGTTAGCTGTCAAGCACATCCCATGAGCTGGCATTTAACATCTCATTTGATAGCATAATTCAACAAAAAGGATAAAAAAAAGTGTGATATTTATTTATATTATGGGATGGATTTTACAGGGATATTTGATAGGCACACACCATCCTGCCAAAGCAAGTGTTTCTGCACTTCTAACACCACAAGCAAGATCAAATAGGAAAAGGGAAGGAATGGAGGAAAGGGGAAAGAGGCAGTGAAATGTGAGAACTTCTAATTCTGTGACTGTGGTTATGTAATTATTTGTTCTTATGTAAGCTTTCTTATTTCTTCTAAAAATAATGCAAAAATTGTTCTCACAAAACAAAAGTAATAACCAGCATCTGTGTTGTTCTTTCAATTTGAAAACATCAACCTTTGATCAAATAGTTTAAGAAAATATGTGTCCCATGAAAAATCCACAGATACTATTATTACCCAGACAGTGTCTGAGGCCATAGAGCCAGAAAATGTCATCTGGACTCCTCCAGAACATTATCGGGATCAGTGTGATGATGGTAACTGGAGTTGCCACTTTAGCATCTGTTCTCAACAGTATCCACTGCCCACCTAGCCCCCTCCTAAAAATGTCAAATACTCACCTTCCCAAACTCCTCTGAATTTAGTACTTATTTGGACCAATGAGATCGGAAGGAAAGACTGGTGACAGGATTTGTGGAAAAGCTTTCTTCTCTGGTAAAGAAATACAAAGAGAGAAACCTCTCTCTTCCTGCCTTTGAATATAATTGGGTGAGTTTGTGATGTCTGGAAGGGCTGCAGCCATCTTGTGACCATGAGGAAAGAAGCTAGAGAATGACAGCCAGTGCTGTGGATATAATGGCATGGAAAGATAGAAACACCTGGAATTAATTCTTGTTAGGAAATACAATAAACTCCTATAAGTTCAGCCATTTTTAAGTAGTATTCTACTATCTGTAGCTGAAATCATCTTAAATAATATACAAATCTTTCACCCTCTCCATGTGTTTGCAACTGAGGCTTGGAGAACGTTCATCAGGTGTAGGTAGATTTCCAAAGGCCCTATGGGATAACAAAGCTGCACAGTGCAATCCATTCTCAGTGAGTGTGATAGAATGACCACAATATTGAGATTGGAATTATTAGGTTGCTAAAGAGCTTGGTCAACTGTTATCTGCTTAGAAAGCTTTGGCCACTCAACATCAGTCACTTCTTACTGATTGAGAGAGATCTTCAAAAGCAGGCAGAAAACAGCTCCAGACAAGTTGTGCTGGAGTCAGCAAAGGCATAGTTCTCACTTTAAAATTCCACTGGAAAAGAAAGTTCCAGACCATTCTTCATTCTTGCACCCATGTAGTCACTCACATATCCTCTCATTAAACAGACACTTTGTGCATAACACTGTAAAGCAACTTTTTAAAGAAGAAAAAGTGAACCGGTGATGTTAACCTAAGATGATAAATACTAATCCCCAAAGGGCTTCAGCTGGCAACCTGAATGTCACCCCAAATGCAGTGGGAGACAAAGGGAGTTATAGAGCAAGGGAGGAACCTGTCCAAAGTTGTACATCACACAGACCCTTTCTTAAGTCCCATGTGAGACACATGTTAAATAAAGGGGTGGTGTGGAGGGAGAAGAAAGGGGGTGAGAAGCCAGAGACTGTCTAGATTACGCCATGGCTATCAGAACACAAGCTCCTTCTATCTTCCCTGTGCCATCATGTAAGATTACTCACAATGTCCCTGATCTGCTTCCCAGGTAAGTGCCACCCCCAAAATTCTAAAAGTCCTCTAAGCTGGATAAAGACAGAGCACTTGTCAGCAATGCAAAGCACATAGAACTTCATGTAAAATCCTGAGTTGTGCTCAGTATTATCCATGATCTACAGCTCAGGTATAATATTTACAGAATAATTAAATTTAAGAACTAAGTGGGGATAACCCCATAGCTATTGAAACTTTGGTTTTTCACATTAAAAAGTTCATCTATATAGAAATGCCTGAGTAAGGCTGGCACAGGGGGAAAAAATGAGCCTGAAAACTCTTTTTGGGCCATAAAGTAGGGAAAGACTCAAAGAATGATGGAGAGACATTGGTGGGACACAATAGCTAGCCTGAAGGCACCGCTGCTGCTGGGAAAATGCAGAACAATTTAAATATAAAATCATGATAACTAAGAAATATAACCAGTTGTGTAAAGTAAGAATCCATGAGTCCACACTGATATGAACTGAATGATTTTATATTAGTCACCAGGGGCTGATATAGCAAAATCCATAGAGTGGGTGGTTTAAACAACAAAATTTACTTCTTATGGTTCTGGAGGTGGAAAGTCCAAGATCCAGGTGCCAGCCTATTCACTTTCTGGTGAGCACCCACTTCCCGGCTTACAGAAACTGACATCTCACTACGTTTTCACATGGCAGACAGAGTGACCCCAGCTAAACCTAATGACCTCTCAACATCTCCACCTCCAAAAACGATCGCTTTGGTGGTCAGGGCTTCAGCACATGAATTTAGGGGGGACACAAACATTTAGTCCATAACAGGCAGTAAATGAGCAAACGGAGAGAAGGAAAAGCTTTTCCTTGCAGAACAAAAACTGATACACGTAGAAGCAGTGACGGAGCTAGCGAGTAACCATGTGTCAGGTGTCACAGTTCACTCCGCCAGATTCATCTGTGGATTCCAAAACTAAGCAGATGCAATTTTATAGTCTATTTATAGAGTCTCAAAGTATCTCCTCAGAAGATACATATTGATTATAAAGAATGCATAGAGTCCTTTACAGTGGGGAACTCACCAACTTAATCAATTGATCAAAGTTAACATGTCTGGTCATAGGATCATTTACAGCTTGTGCCTCCTTTTATGGCTCATGAGAAGATTGCTACGTCACTCTGTGGTTTTCTGCCAGAGGTGCAGGTGAGGGCAGCACCTGTCCCAATGCCACATTTATCTTCTTCATCCTGGACTCCCACTGGTCTGGGATGCTGATTCTCACAGTTATCTTCTCACTTGCTGTGGTTTCAATTCTGTTGGGAAGAAAAATATATATAGATGTATAAATGGATGGGTGGAGAGAGAGAGAGAGAGAGAGAGAAAGTGAAAGTGAAAGAGTGAGTTGTTGGGCCAGTCCTTGTGGGTAGAGAGAAAAAAACCCTACCCTCCTTTGGAGAAAATATGATAAGGATATTGGTCAGTGCTTTTCTTTAAAAACTGAGTCCATTTATTTTTACAAGTACCTTGAAGCCCCATCACTTCTCTGAGCTCAATAACTTCCTAGTTAAAAATATTTGCCTGGAACCAGATCACTTTCCACTTCAGGACCGCAATGTGTTGTAAAAATCAAACCAATGAGTCTGAGGATTCACTCATTTAATTTACCTGGAGGTAGAAAAGCAACTCAGAGGACTATACAAAGGAGCTTGAGAGGCCTAACAAGTTTTTTTTTTTTTTTTTTTTTTTAAGTTAAGGGGATTTTACAACAAAGGAGGAAGCAGGCCCAGGCTGAGCATACAAGGTCAGAAAAACAATGGTGCCCACACACTTCAAAGAAACACAAACAGCATTTTGGGATAATGTAAAGAGCTGCTGGAAATAAGGTCTGCAGAACTCCCTCTCATAAGAAACCCCTACGACACGCGTCTCTGCCATGAAAAGACACAAGTAGGTCTCAGTCTGAACTGGTGTGGCATTCTGTTCCTGGTCCTAAAAAATAGCCCCTGGTCTGCTATAGAGATCTGTGTTACAGCGAGGATTCCATCGGTAGCCTCCATGTACTCTAAGAGCAGCAGGACTTGCCCTGATACTCTAAACATGTCTGGAGAATCATCAGGAGTAAGCAAAACTTTCTGCTTTTTATGCTTTCCTGGAGAACAGGTCTCCTTCTCGTCCCCCTCCGCCCCAGGAAATCACAAGATGCAACGAAGATGAATCTCAGAAAAGAAAATGGGTTGCACTGGCAACTTGAAACATAAGGAATCCAGAAACTTTGATTGGGTGACTTTTCCACCAAAGGGGGGATATCCAGAATCCAACCCCTCTTCCCTTGTGGCTTGTTTCAACAGGAATTCCATGGACAAGCTTCTTCCCAGAGTTACGAACAAGCAGGAACATCATTTGCATAAAGGGTGGTATAGACAGACAAACCTTCACATGTGCCATGGAGCCTACGTGTATGCAGGAGACTCACATATGAGCGGTCACCCAGTCTTTGTCTGGTTTTTAATAATTTTTAAAATTTTTCTTGTGATTATTCATAATCCATTTCAGCTAGTCTCATCAATTTCCTAATGAAATTCAGCATGATTTCAATACTTACCCTTCAATAGAACAAAAATCAAGTAGATGCATATACATAAGAATGGCTGAAATGAAAAAAAAAAAACACAGAAAATATTGAGAGTTGGTAATGAGGTGGAGAAATCTCAAACATTACCATGGAGAAATTAATTGTACAAATATTTCAGGACATTGATTGGTGATGTCTACCAAAGCTGAAGTGAGGCATACCCTGTATGGCAGGCTGAATACTGGTCCTACAAACATGTCCACACTTCAATGCCCAGAACTTGTGAGTACGTCACCGTGCATGGCAGAGGTCTCTGCAAATGGCATGAAGCTAAAGACCCTGAGATGGAGAGACTGTCCTGTGTTATCTGGGTGGGCCCAAGGTCATCACAAGGGTTCTTTTCTAAAAAGAGGGAGGCAGGAAGGCCTAAGTCAGAGAAGGAGATGGGGCAGCAGAAGGAGAGGCTGAAGTTACAAAGTTACAGTTACAGGGGAGGAATAAGTGCTCGTACCCTGTAGTGACTATAGTTAATAATATTGTACTGGATGTTTCAAGATAGCCAGAAAAGAAGATCTTGAATGTCACAACCACAAAGAAATGATATATGTTTAGGTAATGGATATGCTAAGTATTCTGATCAGACCATTATATTATATATGCATGTATTGAAACAACGAACTATACCCCATAAACATGTACAATGAAAAAAATAAATTAAAAATAAAAAGGAAAGAGAGGCTGGAATGAAACACTCTGAAGGTGGAGGAAGGGTCCATGCTGGGGTCTGAATGTCAGTGTCCCCCCCAAACTCATGTGTTGGAACCCAATATCCAGTGCAACGGTACCAAGAGGTGTGGCCTTTGGGAAGTGGTAAGTCATGAAGACTCTGCCCCCAAACAAATTTTCTCAAAACTTTTCTGAAATTTTCTGGTCCCGTGCCTCTTGATGCTTCCCTTGTGCGTGCTGTTCCCTCAGCCTAGAGAGATGTCCTCCTGCACTGGCATGACTCGAGCCATTGTCTTCTTCAGATCTTTGGGCAAATGGCACCTTCTCCCTGGGGCTTTCCTAACCACCCTGCCTAAGGTAGCAGCCCCTTGCCACTCTCACTTAATTTTATCCCCTTTCTTAGTTTATTTCTTCAGCACTCAACAATGACATTCTGCACATTTTTTACTTTTTTTTTTTTTCCTCTTGTTTTCTCTGGTGCCTATTCACCTCCCTAGTTCCTAGAATTGAGTCTGACTCGTGGAAAGCTTAATATATACTGTCTGAGTGAACCATCCACAAGGAGTCCATCTTCTCTGGACATCCTGTGAGTCTGTGATTGCAGCGACTATCTGTGCTGGTTTGCCAGGGGCTAAGGAAGTTCTCAATACACAGGATTCTCACTGCTAAAACAGGAAAAGTTCCAGCAAACCAGATGAGTCAGTCACTCTGTGTGCCTCTAAGGGCCCAAAGGTCAGCAGGAGACCACTAAAATCTACCAAGGCTGAGGAGTGGGAGGCATTGAAATGCTGTGTACCAGTAGTTCTCAAGCTTTCCAGCGTACCAGAATCATTCAAGAAGCTGGTGTATCATAAAGATTTCCGGACTCAACCCCAAAGCTTCTGATTCTGATTTTCTGAGGCAAGGCTCCAGAATCTGAGTATATAAACAGCTCTCCAGGCCTTCAGAATACTCTTCGAGCCATGCTACTTGGGACCAAATTCTTCATAAGACATAGTCCATCTAATCACCTTTTGCCAAGGGGAGTCACACAAAGTAGCGTCTGGCATTCAGCAGACATTCTGAGATATTCCCAGCCCTGGGAACTGAATCACTTTTAGGGTGTGATTAATGGCAACCATAAAGACACTTCTAATTTGGATTCCCCAGCAAACCACATTCTCTTTGATAAATTAACCACAAGGAGAGAGAGAGAAACATGCAACTCCCCCTAGGCAGCTGAGGGGCTGAGACAGGCTAACTCCACAGAAAGGTTGTTCCAAAACAAAATGTTCAAGGAGTAAGGAAACTTACCAGAGAAATCAACTTTGAGAGGAGCCACATGGCATGGGACTTGCCTGTAATTCAGCAGAGCAGAAGAGAAGCCTTCTCCTCCTATACTTTCAGGGGCATCCCCTCTAATTATGCAAAAACTTGGCCACTGGAGATGCTTAATGTTGGTTTCTGCAGTATGATGCGAACTGGAATCATCTTGAAGTAAAATCAATTGGTGCTAAAAAAGCACATCCACCAGAAAAAATGTGTGATAAAGTACTAATTACAATTCTGAGCATTCAACATGTGAGAGAAGAGCTCTATGCAAATGTGGACTTTTCCAAATGAGCACACAGTGATTTGCATGGGATTTCTTACCTTTTCTTTGTTTAATCGCTTATCTTATTGTTCTTCTAAGAAAGGTGAACATTAAGTAAATCTGTGTAGATAGATAGATCATAAGCATCATTTGTGTTTCAGCAAAAGGTAATGTAAATTTAACAATGTATTAATGCATGGAATAATTGTTTTCATTTTACTGCCAGAAGAGCTGCCATAGAGTGAGTTTATTTGTTTGTTTGTTTACTTACTTTACCTACCTACCTACCTACCTACCTACCTACCTACCTACCTACGTACGTACCAACCAACCAACTGGGAGAAAGCTGGACCTCAGTAGCTGGGCAAGCAGAGATTTGGAATGAGAGACCCTGGAGAAAAAGCTACTGAAGATTAAATGCTTCATTTCAAATCTCTTCCAAAGAAAATAATTTAATCAGTGCTTTCCCTCTGCCAATTGACCCATACCCCAGAAGGATAGCTTTGCCAGTGAGCAGAGCCTCTCATGAAAGTGAGACCAATTTAAAGTGATGGGATGTCCAGGCACCTGATCCCAGGCTGTTATTTAAAGTAAATATCTCTGACTCCAGTAATGGCTTTTCAGAGGGAGTAAGGCAAGAATACTACCTCTATATACATCCCATATCACTTCACCAAAGACTCTCAAAACTAAGGTAAAAAGCACAGCACCTTCAAACTACATTTTGAAGAAATCATGGGAAATAAGGTATGAAATAGTCATACTATGTTATTCTGTCAGGAAAATTAATAAACTAAAGCCACGTGTATCAACATGACATGAATCTCACAAAAGTAATATTTAGTAATAAAAGCAAGTTGTTATTGTCATACAAATGTTTCCATTTCTGTTACAATCATTTCTGTTTAAAATCATGTCAAATGTATTTTCTAGATGTACAGACATAGGTAGTAGTAATATTTAAAAGCACATGGGAATAAGAGACACAAACTGCAGGTTAATAGTTACTTTAATAGGAGGTGGGAAGGAGAGGTGATAGGAGGGTGCATTTCAGGGGGCTCTTTGGTAATGTTCTATTTCTTAAGGTTGGTAGCAGACACAGTGTACCCAGTGGGCACAGTTTATTTCCTAAGTTTGTCATATTAGTCTTTTTGCTTTTCTTATATCTTATTTTATATATACATATATTAAATTTTAATTTATCAATACACAATGTAGTTGACTTGTGTCTCTTTACCAATTTCTTATATGTTACATTTTGCATCATAAATAAAAAAACATGGCTGGGTTTTGAGCTCACAGTCAAGCAACTACAATCCTCTGACTATCTTTCTAACATTCTCTGCTGCTGCTTGCAGATACCCCCCACCCCCAGCTTTCTTGCAGAGCCTCACCAACAGCTGAAATCAGATCTTGCAGAAAAGAAGTTGGGATTTCTGGCC